AGTATGTGTCTACTCCATCATCATATGATTCCAATAACTACGACAATGTACAACANNNNCATTAATTCTACAGAGATAAAACAACCTTGGGCATCAAGTCTACCAGCACCAGCACAACAAGCACTACAAGCACTACAAGCACTACCAGCACTACCGGCACTACCAGGTCCTCGAGAGGCAAGAACAACAACACCACTAGCAATGGGAAGCACCAAAAGGGCCAAGGTAAAGACAGAACACCTCTTTGAAGTGATTGAGGAGAGATACTTGACTCCTGGCAACCATCTCACCTTGGACATCAGTCAAGCCGAGGCCGGTCAATATACTATATACAAGCCATACACAGGCGGACATTGGAGAGCAGCAACTATATTGTCAGTCGGCCAAAAGGACTTAACCATCAAGCTTCTTCCTTTCGCTGACAATCCAGCTCCAAAAACAATGCCAATATCAATCCAGATAGGTGTGTCCAACTCCACACAACTTTAGCCAAACTAAAGGAAATGGGTTACTATATTCTTTAATAAACAAACTGTACATATATATATTAAATAAAAATATTTATATAAATAATCTGTGTTTATTAAWAWTAATATATTTTTGTTTTTTCCTGTATAAATTTCGAAATTTCTGTCCACMACCTCTCCACAGTTCACTTGATAAAGTGAGAAGTAAATTAAATTGATAATMTTTTGTTCTGAGTTCAAATCCTTAAAAWACCATGTTAAATGAATGAATGTGTCCAAGTCAAAACAATTTTGACATTTTTTTGTTTTTACACACAACCTGTTGTCCAAACAAGGAAATAACAACCACCCAAAGGGGAATCAATAAGGTGAAGAGGTCTTGGAGGGATTGACACAACTGTCACTTGGTGAATTCGATCAACTCCTTCTAGTTGGACATATTCCTCAGTCAGTGACACAGATGTCAACGAGATGTTTCAATCAACCACTTCAAGTTGGGCACATACCACAATCAGTGGTACAACTGTCACTTGATCATTTCAACCAGCCACTCCAAGCTGGACACATACCACAATCAGTGGTACACCTGTCACTTACTCATTTCAACCAGCCACTTCAAGTTGGACACATACCTCAATCAGTGGTACACCTGTCACTTGATCATTTCAAGCAGCCACTTCAAGTTGGACACATACCACAATCAGTGACACATTTGTCGATCAGTGGTGAGTTCGATCAATCACTCCAAGTTGGATATATACCACAATCAGTGACTCATCTGTCAATGGACTTTTTCTACCAGCCACTTCAAGTTGGACACATACCACAATCAGTGACACATTTGTCATTTGATATATTCGATCAACCTCTTCAAGTTGGACATATACCACAGTCAGTAACACAATTATCAATGTCCCGTTTCAACCAACCACTTCAAGTTGGACACATACCACAATCAGTAACACAATTATCAATGTTCAATTTCAACCAACCACTCCAAGTTGGACACATACCACAATCAGTGACTCATATGAAATTTGGAAATTTCGATCAACCACTTCAAGTCGGGCATATTCCATCTTCAGTAATACAGTTGTCAATGCGATACTTTGAACAACCAATTCAAGTCGGACATATTCCACCGTCAGTGACACATCTGGAATTGGCACTCTTCAATCATCCTCTCCAAGTTGGACACATGCCAGAAAATGTTACAAGTTTAACTTTTTGCAGAGAGTTCAATCAACTTCTCAAAACAGAGTACATTCCATCAGTTAGATCACTGTCTGTTCAATGCCCGCAATTTTCTCCCGAGAATATCAGTTTGCTTGGACACAACTGTCTCAATGAGCTTAGTATTGTCCATGTAGCTACAAAAAACAATTGTAAATCTGTTGGGACATCCTCACTTTTACACCAGGAGACTATTTCTCATCTTTCAAAGATGAATACTCTTTCGCACTTAATCATCAAGATTAAGCCGAGAAAGTGTCTCAAAGGAATAGATGGTGGGATGCCATTCTCTATTTTGTATTCATTGCTCAAGTTTATTCCAACAATCACTCTACAATTCTGCCATGAGTATAGTGATGCCTTTAACTTTGAAATCATTTGGAGACTGGTCGACGACAAAACAGCACTACTAGTCCCTATATCGGACGCAGATGATAATGGAGTTGTACTATTTTGGAAGTTTGCAACACACAAGCCTGGGCCGGTCACCACATTCAAGAATTCAACTGCGTCACAAGCCGAGCCCAACCCCATGCGTATTCTTACTGTCCCGAACTATGATGTGGCTCAACTCAGAGAGTTCCTGAAGGGGAAAACGATAATTCAGATGTCCAGGCTTACAAAGGACAAGCTAAGCCAATATCTAACAATATTTGGTATACCAACAACCTCAGATACACAATTGACTAATCTAAAGTTGGCAAAAGTACTATCCAAGGTATTAAGTGATCATAAAAATCAACAATCAAGGCCCATCTGACCAGATTGCAGATTGGATGGCTATCTTCCAGACGTGTGTTCAACAACATTGGTTTCCCAGTGAATAG